AGAGACTGGTCGACTCGTCATTTGGTCACTTAGGCTTTTATATGTAAAGATGCCACTCAAGTTTGGTGGCTTTATTGCTTCATTTGTCAGTTTGTGATTTTAGTACCATACTATGAGTTATGGGTATGAACCAAATATACTTCTGAATAAAATTAGTACTAACACTTAGGTCTTTAATTCCTTGGGATAATTTCACTGGTCATTATTTGGTTTACTACTATTATTATTAACTTGCTACTGATGCATGTGTCATTTCTTGACAAAACGGGACAATAAGGCTTATTTCACCATCTATAATTTAGGGTTAAAAACAAATGACACAAATTTTACTTCCCTAATGTAGCAATGCCTTTCAAAAACAGGCTTGATTAAAAAGTCAAATGACTATAAAAATATTACAGAAATAAATAAACATATAAGTTTTAATTTACTTTTGGGTTATAGTTGACAAAGTACCATTGAAATAATGTGGTCCTTCTGCACATGACAAAGACATAGCCATACTACCTGCAACTCACCACACAAGTTGGAGAACACTTGTACTGTGCTATACGCTGTTTGATGAGAGCTGTCCAATGATCATGAGTTTGGATATTGATGAAATGTTAAATTGCTATAACATGCTGCTAAGAGCATTTACTCTTAATTTCTGTACTTATCTTCTGGTAGACCAAACACAAACGGTGTGCAAATTGGCACTGGTCCAAGGACCACTTTGAGTAATGCTGCTCTAGGGAACCTGTGCTGAAGAGACTGAGAGAACTGCTGGAGGAGTTTATGAAGTAGCAGAAGGGAGGAGGAAAACAAGGAGGTCATGGGTGTGTGGAAGAGGAAGTATTAAGAAAGAGGAAGTGGTCAACTGTGTTAAGTGCCAAAAAAGTTAAATAGGCTGAGGACAAAAAAAGAATCCATGAGATGACAATTAGGACATCAGTGACCTTTGAAACAGTGATTTCAGTGGAGTGCTGGAGTGGTATTGCTGGTAGGAAAGAAGCAGGCCCTAGTAGGCTGAGGAAGGAGAGAGAACATATGGAGACTTCCCTTTCAAAAAGCTAGATTGTAAAGACATGGAAACAGTATGGTCGCTTATGAGTGCAAAACAGGTCAAAGGAAGACTAAAAAAAATATTGTAATGTCATTGAAGGCACGCCAAGCTGAAAAAGTTCTATCTCCAGATAGAAAATCTAAGCAAGATCTTCATTTGGACTTACTGGCAATCTTGAAACTACTATGGAGTGTGGGAAGATCAGGGGAAGCTTCTTTTAAGAATCTTCAAAATGGCCGAATCTGGTTTAGCTCAGTGGATAAAGCGTCAGTCTGTGGACTGAAAGGTCCCAGGCTAGATTCCGGACAAGGGCATGTACATTGGTTGCAGGCACATCCCCAGTAGGGGGTTTGCAAGAGACAGCTGGTCGATGTTTCTCTCTCATCGATGTTTCTAGCTCTCTATCCCTCTCCCTTCCTCTCTGTAAAATATCAATAAAATAAAATTAAAAAAAAAGAATCTTCAAAATGTCTAATACATCTCTGGAAGTGCAACAGAAGATAAGGATTTTGATTGACTTGATTTTTCCTGAGTTGTACATAAAGATTTAAATGTAGTAAGGAACAATTAAGTTAACTTATATCCCTTTGTAAATTGAGGAATCTCTCTTTGACTTATCATAATTGTGGTACATCCAGATGTTAACAAACTGGATTTAATAAAGTAAGTCATCCCTATATATGAAGAGAGTTTGCTTCAGTTCCCAGAACTTTCCTATGCTCTCCTCCCCTCCCCACTTTTAACAAATAAGAATTTACTGTGTGCCCAACACTGTGCTAGGTACTAAGGCTATAACGATGAAGGAGCTCATTAGAGAAAGGTCATGTTATGATGTTTTCTCATTAAGTTAGAAGCTCAGTTATGTCAATGAGGACCCATTTTAAAAATATTCCTACTGTGCCATTCTTAATATTTCTGCTTTATCTTCAAGTCAGGTGTCTTAGGTCACAATGCTGCAGCAATTGCATTGATAACATCCTCATAATAGTTAAGAAGTAGAAGAACTGTGTCATGCTTGTATCTCATTTTAGCAGGCTTTCAGTGGACTATCTTTGATCTAGCAAAACCCAAAATTTCACCCTTACACCTGGACAAGGTGAATTGGATTAAATAGGTTTACAACTTTGATGGTATCTTCTCTCTTTAGTCGGAGCTGGTCATAGATTCTTATCTCTTGACAAACATTTGGCTTCCAAGAGAGGGTTTTTTGAACTATTGCTGATATAGCTGGCTTACAAATATACCTGGGCTGTTGAGTAGGCCATTGACTTCCAACCCTTTGTACATTCTGGCATATGTCATGGCATACACAGAAAATGGTAATCCATCATACTGCTCACTGGGATAAACCCAAGAAGTTTGCAGCCATGCCTTGCCTGAAAGGCTCCTGCTGCCTCAGCCTTGCTTTGCTTTTCCAGATAAGAAGATTCACATCAGAGCACAACTGTATTTCATTTACCGCACCTTAGTTGGGAAGTTCTGGAGGAGCAATCCACAGCATCTGCCAAAGAGAAAAAAACGTGTAGTCAAACTAAGCAATTTACTACTATAAGTCCAAGAGATGGAAGAGACACAGTTTCTGAGCTAATGTTTGATGGTGGTAGTTCCAGCAAGCTCTTCTGTGATGTGTTCGTGCCTTTGCATATGCTGATTCTCTCTTCTTGCTGTTTTCTTTAACATACAATGTAATGGATAAGCAGAGTTAAATATATCTGGGTTCAAATCCTCTGCCACCCATCAGCTCTGGAATATTGGGCAAATTGATGAACTCCTATGAGCCTGTTTCTCCATATGCAAAGTGGAATAATTCTATGCACTGCTTATTTGAAATAATTGTTTTTGAGGACTAAGATAATTATGTAAAATTACCAGCACAACTTAATGTTAACCAATAAAGATTTGACAAATTAAGTTTGTTTGGGGGGTCTTAAAAAAAAGAATTAGAACTTGAGACCCATATTTAGATAGCAATCCAAACTGCTCTGAAGAGAAGGAAGATAGGATTTATAAAGGCAAAAACCACAAAATGTAATTCTTTCATGCAAATGAAGTATTGCTGGTTAAGTACAGGAATTAGTTAGTTTCAATATCGAGTGCATGAAATTCTTGCACTGGTAGGGTCCCTAGGCCTGGCTGGCAATCAGGGCCCATCTTGGGGCGACCAGCCAGGAGATGGTGGGTGGGGCCCCTGCTAGCACCCACCTTGGTTGACCTGGGGCCTGTGGGCAACTCCCTCATTGAGCATCTGCCCCCTGGTGGTTAGCGCGCATCATAGCAACAGGTCATTCTGCCATTCAGTCAATTTGCATATTGGGCTTTTATTACACAGGACTAGAGGCCCAGCGCATGAAATTCCTGCACAGGGTGGGGGGATGTGTCAACATCCCTATCACAATCCAAAAAAGGCTGGCTCCCAATTGCTCACCTGCCTGCCTTCCTGATTGTCCCTAACCGCTTCTGCCAGCCAGCCTGATCACCCCCTAACCACTCCTATGCCAGCCTGATTGATGCCTAACTACTCCCCTGCCAGCCTGTTTTCCCCTAACTGCTTTCTCCTGCAGGCCTGGTCACCCTTAACTGCCCTCCCTGTAGGCCTGGTCCCCCCCAACTGCTCTCCCCTGTAGGCCTGAGTCCCTCCCAATTGCCCTTCCTTGCAGGCCTGGTAGCCCTCAACTTCCCTCCTCTGCTTGGTCACCCATAACTGCCCTTCCCTGCTGGCCTGGTTGCCCACAACTGCCCTCCCTTGCAGGCCTGGTCCCTCCCAACTGCCCTCTCCTGCTGGCCATCACAAGATGTGATGGCCATCTTGTGTCTACATGGGGGCAGGATCTTTGTCCACATGGGGGCAGCAATCTTGTGTGTTGGAGTGATGGTCAATCTGCATATCACTCTTTTATTAGATAGGATGCAGGGAGGCAAAAAAAAAAAAAAAATTAAAAAAAAATACTTCCTATTACTAAGGAAGTGAAGCCCAAATATATATATATCTCTGTATCCATGTAGCAGTGATTGTTACAGGATATTTATAGCTGGGCCTTGAGCTGAGTGTAGCCACTTCATAGCTGCTCTAAGAACTGAAGCACAAGATGTGGATGGGCCCCACTTCCCTAATAGCCTCTATTTTAAGTGACTCTCTTAGGAATGCTTATTCCATTTAATGTTTTCCCGTTATCAATAAGTAAGCCCTCCTTAAATGTTACATCTCCCTGGCAAAATTCTACTAGTATTCAACTGCCACTATTCCTTTGAAGATGTCCCGTAGACGTTTCTAGGTGCCTCCTGTAAACCACTAGACGATTTATTACTATAAGTAAACATGTGAAGACGTTTTCTGGTTAAGACAGAGGCATTAAAACAGTAATTACACTGCAATCTGTTCTTTACCCACAGTCCTCCTCTCCTCCCTAACTAGAGATCCTACCCTTTTTATCTCCCAGTGACTGGCAGAGTCCAGCTCCTATTATGAGTCCTGGCAGTGTTTGTTTTCCTTTGGGCCCCTCCGCGGAGGGGAGCGGGCTGGCGGGAGGCCCGCGGTGCCGGCGGAGGGCGCCGCCCAGAGGGAGAGGGGCGTGCCCGCCGAGGGTGCAAACGCCCGATATTCCTGGCGGGGCCGGGCCGCACCCCGTGACCCACCCACAGATGGTCACGGGCCCAATCTCACCCCCCAGCCTGGGCACTGCCCCGCTACCCGCACCCATGCCCGGAAGGCAGCGTTCCGGGTAGAGGCAGGTCCGGGCGGCGGCCGCGGCCTCAGGAAAGACGCCGGGACGCCGGCCCGGGCCCCGTGCCCAGCGCGCCCGCCCGCCCGCCCTCGCGCCCCCGCCCCGCGCGCCACCCGGCGCCCGGGCTCCTGCCGACGCCGCGGGCCCGGAGCCTCGCGGACGTGACGCCGCGGGCGGAAGTGACGTTTTCCCGCGGTTGGACGCGGCGCTCGGTTGCCGGGCGGGCGGGGGGTGGGCTTGTCGGTGTCTCTCAGGGGACGTTCGTGTTATTTCTGTAACGGGAGTCGGCAGAGGACGGGGCGTGCCCGGCGCGCGCGCGGCCTCCCGCCCCGGCGCCCCTCGCCGCCTGCGAGCTCCCGCCCCGGCCGCGCGTCATGCCGCCCAAAGTCCCCCGCAGAGCCGCCGCCGCGCCCCCGGCGCCGCCGCCCCCCGCGGAGGACCCCGCGCAGGACAGCGGCCCCGAGGACCTGCCGCTGGCCAGGTGAGCGAGCGTCAGCCCCGGGGCCGGCGCGCGGGGAGGGCGCGCGGGATGCGGCGGGCGGGCGGGCGGGCGGGCGAGCGCCGCGGTGCCCGGCGGGCGGGGGTGCGCCCTCGCCGGGAGGCCGGCCGGCGGGAGGAGGGTCCCGCCGCGCCCCCCGCCGCGGCGCGGCGCCCGGGGGAGGCTGACAGGGGTCCCGGTCCGCGAGCGGGAGCGCGGCGCCGCCGGAAGGGCTCTGGCTCCGGCTTGACAGGTGTCCGGCGGGTGGGGCTGCGGTCCCTGAGCGAAGTGACAGGTGCCGCCTCCTCCGCGGGGCTGGAGGCTCGCCGGCGGCGCGCGATTTCGAGGCCCCGTCAGACGGGGCGGGGGAAGAGCCTCCGAAAACAGCACAAAAAGACGAGTGTCTGGCGGAGAGCCCTTCTCGGGGAGCGGGGGTGGGGGGGTGGGGGGGTGGGGGGGTGGTGGTGTTCGTAGTCCGCCGGGGGTCTCCGGGGATGCAACAGGTGGGCATGCTCTCCTGTGGGCGCGCAGCTGCACGGAGCCTCCCCGGGGAGCGGCGGCCCGGAGGGCACGGGGCCGCTGCGGGGCTGCCTGGGCGGAGAGCGCGGGGCCCGGGCCAGCCGTACCCGGGGCGCCTGGCCGGGGTGCTCGGTGGGGTTCTCCTGCACCCGTGCTCTGAGTTCTTGGGGATACAGAGCCATAGTCACTCTACTGGTGGGACAGAACGCTCTTCCGAGGAACTGACGATGTATGGGCACAGGGTTAGCCCAAAGTTCTTACATGTCTCTACACTTTTCCTTTCTTTCTTGTTTCAGGTTAGCTGGCTTCAGCATGCCTCATTATTATTTCTCCCCTGTCCCCCCTCCTTTTTTTGCCTTTTGGCTTGGAGGCCAGTCCTGGTCCTGTTGCTCCCCAATCCCCACCCCCTTTGTTTGGGGACAAAATGAGTGTCCTTGTGCTCCCATGGATGGAATTTAAATGTAAGAGAGTCATGATATCATGATATAATAACGCAGTAGAACATGACAGGGGAGATATTTATTCCTTTCTAGCAGCATCTTATTATTTTTTTATTGGGATACTCTATGGTTAAGAAGCTAAGATGGTAGAGTAGAATCGTCTTTATTCTTGTCAGCACGGGTCCTCTGAAGGAAGACCATTGCAGGGGAATGAGACTCCTTTCTGTCCCTCACCGCTCCCTCCCTCTTTCTCCTTCCTAGCCAAGGCCTGTTTTTTTCACCTCCCCAGACTAAGAAAATTCAGGCCAAATTGTAAAAGACTGGAATGGGTTTTTGAAAATGGCTTGTGAAGGGCTATTAAAGATTCATATATTTAAATAGACTGCCTTATGGGTCAATTTAAAAGTCATCCTCACCAGTTAAAAAAAAAAAGTCCGAGGATGTTCTGGGAGAAGACATTCATTTCTGCTTAAACTCTGTTGTATCTAGGATTGAAAGTTTCCCTTTGGAAGCAGCAGTAAACACTCAGTGAAGTGTTCCATGTTGTACACAGAGCTATAGAAGCATTCTCGATTATTGTATGGTAACCAGAAATATTGAAGTTCTGGTCATCATCTGGACTTTTTTTTTTTTTTTTTAAACTATTTTTCTAACACTTTTTATATACCTTAAATGATGGATTTATTAAATTATCCTGTAAGTCAAAACCATACAAAAATAGTATGCTCTTTATTGTCCATATCCACAAAAGGTTTCTTTAGCACGGGCAGTCAAACTCCATAGACTAACTGCTTAGCAAGGATAGAGCCACTGACTGGCAAACTGAGGCCAAGAAGCTTATTCAGGTCCCAGTCCCACTAGACTTCCAGTTACAGAGTCCATTTCTACTTTGAGAGTTGAGATCTTATTTCTGTTGCATTATCTCTGACCTAAATGATGTAATTGGAAGGGAAACCCTCACTAGTAACAGCATGCTATCTTTATTGTTGAGATAACCAAAAGTTAATTATGTTTTGAGAGAGGGATGACAGTTTGGAATAGTGGTCAAGGACATAAATTATGAATATGAAGTTAGATTGTTGGGTTTATCTCAAGGTTCCCACTTACTGGCTGTCATCCCAGGTGAGTGCTTTAACTTCTCTGACTTGGTATTTATCTGTAAAATAAGGATAATAAGAGTACTTACCTAGTAGGGCTAATTTGGGGATTTAGGGAAACCATGCATCTAAACTACTTTACACACTGGGTCATAGTAAATACTCAAAAATTATTAGCTATTTCTCATTATTATGATATGGACATTATACAGTATTATACATACTGTTAATATTCAAAAATCCTCATAATATGATTATTAGATGTCAAATAGGCATTAAATGAATCAAAAGGAATTATCCAAAAAGAATAATTTATGTTAAATTAATCATTGTGTAAGAAATGCCAGCAGGTAGATTCCATATGAAACATTGATAATTATAGACTCTATTTTAACTAAGTCTCTGGTAGTGAATTGAATTCTGTAATAATGGGTTTTTCTCTTCTTGCTGTTATTGTTATCCCAGTTTCCCCAAACAGCTTTAGCTATTTTTACTTACTTTCCTTCACAAACTATTTTGCTGCTCTGAAGTGTAAGTGATTCACTAGGCCAGCAAACATTTTTCACTGTGTGGTATCCTTACTTTGGAAAGACTAAGAAAGATAACCACACTCTTAAATTCTAAGTGTAAATTTTTCAAAGATAAACTTATCCTGTAAAGATAAATAAGCTCCTAAACTATTTAGTGATGCTAGCTTTTCAGAATAGTGCTATTATTCGCAAACCATTGAAACAAATGTTTACTTAATTAGTTTATTTTATGATTTTGTGACTATTAAATGTATATCTTTATTTGGTAGGCTTGAGTTTGAAGAAACCGAAGAACCTGATTTTACTGCATTATGTCAGAAATTAAAGATACCAGATCATGTCAGAGAAAGAGCTTGGTTAACTTGGGAGAAAGTTTCCTCTGCAGATGGAGTATTGGTAAGAATTTGCCTAAAGTTTTTAATACATTTTTATCACCTTAAAAATAAATTTTTGGACCACTGAAAATTTAGAAAAATAGAAAAATCCACCCCCCCAAAAAAAACTAATAATTTTATTGCCCAGAGGCAATTAACCTCTGATAACATAAAGAAGTCACCACATAACCCCTCCCCACCAAAGTATTTTAAAGCCAATCTTAGATATATTTTATTTATAAAAACTTCCCTAATAATATAAAGACTTTTAAAAAACAAAGCCATATCTTAAAAATAATTTTTAATATCTTCTATTATACAGGGAGTGTTCAAATTTCCTGTAAATCTTAGAATTAATTTTATTAGAATTCAGAATCTTTGATAATATTTTGATATGTTTCTTCTATTTTTTTCTTTGCATATAATATTTGAAAATAATTACTAGTGCTTTATATGTACTGGGGAAATATGGTAAGCACTTTGTAAATTACTGATTTAGCAGTCCATTGGGATGTGAAATATAAAACCCTTATTTTACATGTATTATGTAAAATCTTTATTTTATAGATGAAGACACAAGTAAATTGACCAAGGTCCCTGGCTAGTAAGATCTAAAACAAAGATTTGGGGTCCTATCTATAGTTATACTAGAGACTCAATGCATGAAATTCGTGCAAGAGTAGGCCTTCCTTCCCTTGGCTGCTGACACCGGCTTCCCTCTGGCTCCTGGGACCTGGGTTTCTCTCACAGCCCTGGCTTCATCTGGAAGGACGTCTGGTCTAATTAGCATATTAGGCTTTTTATTATTATAGATACAGTTACATATACTTTTGTATCTTGCTTTAAATGTTTTTCTTAATATCATGAGCATTTACTTGTTATTAAAATTTTTTTGAAATATGATAATGTAATTTTCAGTGGAAATATATTTTATTCATTAGATACATTTTAATTTTTTAATTCTTACTATTATTAGACACTTATTTTTCCCCAAACTATTTTGCAATATATAATAATGAGATAGCTGTCTTTTCTTATTCATAAGAATAATGCTTGCCACAAAAATAAGTCCTTGATAATTTGTTATAAAAATTAATGAATGACTCTCTGATTATTAGTCAATTTTTATGAGTTGAGTTACTGAGTCAAAAGCTATGGACATTTAAAAACTCTTGATAATTATTGCTGAATTGCACTCCAATCGCTTTTAATGAATTTATTTCTCATCAGCATCCTATCCTATCTAATAAAAGAGTAATATGCTAATTGACCGTACCAACACTACACCCACAACCAGTTAGGGGTGCTATGCAAATTAACCCAGCAAAGATGGCAGGAGGGAGGAGGCAGCACCCTAGCCACTGGCCTGATCCAAGCCACGATGGCAGACCTGGGCAGGCAGCATGGGTCAGTGCCTGCTGCCGGCTTGATCCAAGCCAAGATGGGGGACCCAGCAGGCGGCGGGGGCAGCGCCCTACGCCACTGGCCTGTTCCAAGCCTTGATCGCACACCTGCCAGGTCCAAGCCACAATGGAGGACCGGGCAAGCAGCATGGAGCAGCCCTACGCCACTGGCTGGATCCAAGCCATGATTTTTGACCTAGGCAGGTGGCAGGGGGGAAGGGAGGAGCAGTGTCCTAGCCACTGGCCCAAAAAACTGCCATCGCACCACCTGCTGGTCCAAGCCACAGTGGGGACCAGTCAGGTAGCAGGGTGCAAAGCCCTAGGCCATTGCTTGCCTGGATCGGGGACCCAGACCCGTGGTGTGGGGCAGCGCCCCACACTGCTGGTGGGGTCCAAGCCAAGGGGACCTGGGCAGCTTCTGTCAAGACCCGCCTGTGGGAGCAGAGGGAGAAAGCTGGCAGCTTAGAGGGCATTGCTCCCTCTGGAGCCCCAGCTTCGGAATCCCAGCTATGGAAACTGACAACCAGTAGGAGAATCCCCACAGAATCAGCCAGAATCAGCTGTTGGTCACACAGCTCAAAGGCCTGACAGTTAAGACTCATTCACCTGTACCTCAGACCACGCAGTAGAGAGGTGGGACTATGTTCAAAGAAAAGCTGTTGATAAAATGTAGCTTTGCAGCAGAAAGATGCTGATGTTATTGACAGAAAATGTCTGAAGAGCAAAGGGCATCTGATCTTGAAAGAAGGCGACGCCTACTACAGAATGTATCTGAAGAGCAGCCATTGGAAAATCGTCACTCTGAACCCAAAAAACACCGGCATCATTGACAGAAAATGTCTAAAGACCAACGTGTCTTTGAAGTTGAAAGAAGGCGGTGGTGAAGACAGAAGTCCAGAGAACGGTAATCAACAAGTACTACCAATATTGGTAGGAACTGCCTTCTCAGCAAAAGTGGAGTACATGAGGATGCAATTCTCAAACACAGTTGTGGTGGCATGACTGTTAGATGTGAATTTTGCCTATCATTAAAATTCTCTGATGAAAAACCATCTGATGGGAAATTTACTCGATGTTGTAGCAAAGGGAATGTCTGTCCAAAAGATATACATTTTCCAGATTACCCTGCATATTTAAAAAGATTGATGACAAACAAAGATTCTGACAGTAAAAATTTCATGGAAAATATTCAATCTATAAATAATTCTTTTGTTTTTGCTTACATTGGTGCAAATATTGCGTTGCCATTAGGGTATGGACCATACTGTTTTAGAATACATGGACAAGTTTATTACCGTGCTGGAACTTTACATCCTTTGGTTGGTATTTCTCGGAAGTTTGTTCAACTATATTTTGGATACAGCCAAAGCTACAAGTAAATGATTAGAAATGCCAGAAAACCAGGGCTGCTCAGAAAGACTCATGATCAACATCAATAACCTCATGCATGAAATAAATGAATTAATAAAATCGTATAAAATGCTACATGAGGTAGAAAAGGAAGTCCAATCTGAAGTAGCAGTAAAAGGTATAGCTCCCACAGAAGTAACTATGGCAATTAAATATGCTCATAACAGTGACCCAGGTAGATATAATTCTCCCGGTTTAACCGAGGTTGCTGTCATATTCAGAGAACCTCCTTTTGAAAGGGACTTGCTTATTCATTGTAAACCAGATCCCAATAATCCAAGTGCCACTAAAATGAAACAAATCAGTATCCTGTTTCCTACATTAGATGCAATGACATATCCTATTCTTTTTTCACAAGGTGAAAAAGACTGGGGAACAGATAATGCATTAAAACTCAGAGATAACAGTGTACTCAACAATAATACTAGACAAAATGTAAGGACAGGAGTCACACAAATGCAGTATTATGGATTTCATCTCTCTGTGAGGGACACATTTAATCCTATTTTAAATGCAGGCAAATAAACAGTTTATTGTGGATTCATATTAAAAAATGGAGGCAAATTGGATAAATTTCATTAAAGCAAACCAATCTAAGTTGAGAGTTGAAAAATTTAGTGGTTTGATGGATTATTTCAAATCTAGATCTGAAAATGACAATGTACTGATTGATAAAATGATGATACTGCCATCATCATTTGAGGGTAGTCCCAGAAATACACAGCAGTGAGCCGAAACCGGTTTGGCTCAGTGGTAGAGCGTCGGTCTGCGGACTGAAAGGTCCCGGGTTCGATTCCGGGCGTGTACCTTGGTTGCGGGCACATCCCCAGTAGGGGGTGTGCAAGAGGCAATTGGTCAATGTTTCTCTCTCATCGACGTTTCTAGCTCTCTACCTCTCTCCCTTCCTCTCTGTAAAAAAATCAATAAAATATATTAAAAAAAAAAAGAAATACACAGTAGTGATATCAGGATGCAATGGCAATTGTAATGAAGTATGGCAAGCCCAATTTATTCATAACCATGATGTGAACTTCAAATGGGCAGGTATTACAAACAATTTACAATGCTGGCAAAAAGGTGAAAACAGACATGACTTGGTAGCCAGAGTTTTTAATGTTAAGCTGAATGTTCTTTTAAATGATATATGTAAATTCAATTTATTTGGCAAAGTAATAGCTAAGATTCATGTCATTAAATTTCAGAAACTAGGACTGCCTCACGCTCACATATTATTGATATTAGATAGTGAGTCCGAATTACATTCAGCAGATGACATTGGTCATATAGTTAAGGCAGAAATTCCAGATGAGGACCAGTGTGCTCGACTTTTTTCAAATTATAAAATTAAATACGGTACATGGGCCATGTGGAATACAAAATCCAAATAGTCCATGTATGGAAAATGTTCAAAGGGAGATCCGAAAGAATTTCAAAATGTGACCATTGGAAGTATTGATGGATATCCCAAATACAAACGAAGATCTGGTAGTACAATTTCTATTGGAAATCAAGTTGTCGATAATACTTGGATTGTCCCTTATAATCCATATTTGTGCCTCAAATATAACTGTCATATTAAAGTTGAAGTCTGTGCATCAATTAGAAGTGTCAAATATCTATTTAAATACATCTATAAAGGTCATGATTGTGCAAATATTCAAATTTCTGAAAAAATATTATCAATCATGATGAAGTACAGGACTTCATTGACTCCAGGTATGTGAGTGCTCCTGAGGCTGTTTGGAGACTTTTTGGAATGCGAATGCATGAGCAATCTCATGCAATCACAAGATTAGCTATTCATTTGCCAAATGATCAAAATTTGTATTTTCATGCCGATTATTTTGCTGAAGTTTTAGATAGGACTAAAAGACATAACTCAGCTTTGATGGCTTGGTTCTTATTGAATAGAGAAGATTCTGACGCACATAATTATTATTATTGGGAGATTCCACAGCATTATGTGTTTAATAATTCTTTCTGGACAAAATGCCGGAAGGGTGGGAATAAAGTATTAGGGAGACTGTTCACCGTGAGCTTTAGAGAACCAGAACGATATTGCCTTAGACTTTTGCTTCTGCATGTAAAAGGTGCAATAAGTTTTGAGGATATGCAAACTGTAGGAGGTGTAACTTATGATATATTTCATGAAGCTGCTAAACACTGAGGATTGTTACTTGACGACACTCTCTGGAAAGATACGATTGAG